CGATGTTCGGGTGAGTCTCCTTGGAAGTCGTGCCCGTGGGATGTCCTGAACATGTCAGCCTGCGTGCCTGTGGGCGGCTCTCTCATCCCAGGGTCGTTCTGTTCGAGAGCCGAACCCCGTGGCCCCAGTGATTGTACGGGGTGTTTGTTTCTGTGCCCCTGCTGTATTATTCTGTGTGTATGTGTGTGTGTGTGTGTGTGTGTGTGTGTGTGTGTCCCACTTTCTCTTCTCTCTGTCTCTCACTCTCTGTGAGTTTCTTTCCCTCTCTCTGAGGGTTGGGGTGTGTGTGTGTGCCCGTGTGTGTGTGTGTGTGTGTTTGAACAAATGTGCCCTGTGCTCCAAAAAGCGACTTCTTACATGTCGGCCTGTCTTTGATGAGCCTCCTTCTGTGTCTCTGCCTGGGTCATGTGGCCAGGTGTCAATCGTTTCCGCGGTGGTTCCACTTCTGGTTTGTGAAGGCATGGACCAGGTGAGGAGGTGCGTGGCTCCCGGAGCAGTTGAAATCTCATCCGCATCCTGAGCAGCCTCTTTTCTAGGATCAAGATGAACACACTTCAGCCAGGGACAAAAGCCACGCTGGAGCTCATTGTCCTGCAGGATAAATTGAGACCTACATCTCAGAAGACATTTGTATCTTTTCACGGCTCTTCTCTGAGGAAGAAGTCACACCACAACACAGACTGAAAAAGGATGCCGGGAATGGGAGATGTCAACAATTCCAGTCACTGTAACCCTGGTCTCACTGGACAAGCCACCCGTTTGTCATCCCTCCACTTACGCTTGTGATGGTGGCACGGTGCTTTAGTCTACCTTGGCTGTAGCCTCTGCTCTGTCCTCCCTCTTGCTCTGTCTCCCGTGTTTCTCCAGGGTATAGATGCTTCGTGGTCTGACTGGATGTCTTCAAATAGATCACTTCCCAGTCTATCAGTTAGAGAGTTGCTGGAGATCTGTGTCTTGATTGTTTCTCTCTCCAAACCTGTTTCTGCTTTTTGAGCAGGTTTGACAACCTTGGAGCTGTAACTTCCATATATGTCCCAGACAGGTAGGGTACCATGGTCTCATCTTTCTCCTCGTGTATGGGTCAAAGGTCCAGAATGAGTGTTAGGTGACCTTGACTGGCCTTGTCTTCTAGGAATGGTGGTGTCACATTTCCTCCATACATCCAGTCTCATTCTTGAGGGATGTCCTCTCCTCTGCTCCTGGGTGGACTGACCCGCTGAATCTTTTGGTCCCATCCTGGCTTGGATTTTCCCTGGCATTGACGGAATTGTCACTTTTGCCCCACTTCCACCGTGCACATGCCTGGACACCACTGTTTGTTTTGCCATCATCCCATATGCCCTCGGTGACACACATTCACTCCATCTGCTTTAGGACACGTAAGTGCCACGCATGGCTGCAATGGTTGCACCTCAGAATTGCCCCTGTTCCTGTTTGCACGGGTCCTGGAAAGCGGTATCTGCTTGTAGGAGCCCCAGGACTTTTAGAATCGGGGCAGGCCACTGCTCTTTCAGAGGAGGAGGGAAGCAACGGCTCAGTGAACTTTCAGTTGACACCACGCCTTGAGGCTCATGGGATCATTCTGTGCTGCAGTGAGGCCTTGTCTGCCTCAGTAGATGTGGTCAGTTCATCCTTCCTCACCTGGAGGGGTCCAGAATTGGATCTGAATATGAGTCTTGAGACCCCAGTAGGTGCCCTGAAGCTCCCCCTCCCCCAGTGGAAATCGTCTCAAGGAGGTCCTGAAGACAAGACTCCTTGGGGGTTTGGTGTTCAGAGGCCCATGGCCCCCTCTCCCACATGGCCCCCTACTGGACCCTGGATCCCTCCACCCCCCGGGTGCAGCACGAGCCCCCCACTGTTGTTTAAAGGGGCCACAGCCTGACTTGCAGGAGTGGAGAACGAGTTGGCCCAGCAATTGTGCACCCACGAGTCTCTATCTGATTCTCCCGTCACAGTAATTTCCACGGTTGTCTTAGAATCCAGTACCTGAGGCATGGCAAAGCAGGAATTCTCTGTGGCTATGCTTCAGTGAAGGGGCTCCGAGCCTCTGGTGTGACTGGCAGGAGTTTTAATACCCCTCCCATCCTGAGCTGCCTCTTTACTAGGATGAAGATGACCACACCCCAGCCAAGGACAAAGGTCTCACAGGTGCTCATTGTCCACCCGCAAGAGGGTGCCCACAGACCTTCAAGAAGGTGGTTATCACGTGATCCTCTCACCTTTTGCCCTCATTTGGAAATCTACCCACAGCTCCACACAGGGACAGAGAAGGAAACCTGCATTGGGATGGGGCAAGCATCTCTGTCACTCAAATGCTGGCCTTCCTGGTCAAGTTGCCCGTTTGTCACTTTTTTCCAGATGCCGGTGATGGTAGCATTATGCCATATATTGGCTGCGCTCTGGCCTCTGCTCTATCCTCCCTCTTGCTCTCTCTGCCCAGTTTCTGGGAAGCCTAGAGGCTTCTTAGTCTGTCTCAATGTCTTCAACAAAGAACACTTCCCAGTCCATCAGGGAGAAATTTCGTTGGGGTCCGTTTCATGATTGCTTCCCTCTCCAAACCTGTTTCTGGATGATTGGACAGGTGTGATGATCCTGGATCTCTGGACTTTCATAACTGTCTTGTACAGGGAAACTCCCTTGTTCTCCATGACCCAAGTGATGGCTTGGTGGTCGGTCCAGGAAGAGCAGCAGGCTACCCCACCGTGGTTGACCTTTGCCTTCTAGGAAAGGCTGTGTTTTATCCCACTTGCATTTCCTCTCTTATTCCTGAGTGCCATCCGGTTCCTCTGCTCCTGGGGAGAGTGCCATCAAACACTGAATCTTTCGGCTGCCATGGATGTCAGGGAGCCAAAGGGACTGGGTTTTGCTGGGTGCAGGGGAGGTGCCGTCAGGGGTACCTACCGGCTGGCGAGGTGTCATTGTGGCATAGTTTGTCGAAACCTCTCGGCCCCTCTGGCAGGTATCCCTGAATGTGGCTTGGACTCGGACACATGTCCTGTCTCGCAGTTTTTCAGGTGTGCTTAACTTTTCCTCAGCTTTGTGTGGGAGATCCCAGTGGCCCACGGGTGCACACCTGGACGTCACTGTCCCTCTTGGCATCGCCCCATACGGCCTCAAAGACACACCCTCACTCCATCTGCTCTTGAGGAACGTCAGTGCCATGTGTGGTCACATTGGCTCCATCTCGGACTCACCTCCGTCTCTCTTTGCAAGTGTCACAGAAAGTAGTGTCGGGATGTCAAAGACCTGGCCTTGGAGATGAAGGCAGGCCACTGCTCCACCCAGGAAAGAGGGCGGCAGTGGGCTCATGGGTCAGTGCATTTTCAGCCGACAGTGTGCCCTGCGGCCCTTGGGATCTTTCTGTGCGCCAGCAAGACCCTTCCCGCCTCAATACATTGTAACCCCATTCCTGATCACTGGGTCGCATCCATGATCGGATCCGAAGAGGAGTCCGACAGTCCAGCTTGCACCCTGAAACTCCTCCTCCACCAGGAACTGAAGCAGAAGACCGATCAAGAAGGTCCTGACGACGGGACTCCTATGGGTCTGACCCTGGGTCTTCCACAGGCCCCTCCGGTAGTCCTTTTCCCACCCACTGCCTCAGACTGCGCCACGGCCGCCACCACTGCCCCAGTCCCCGCAGCCGCCGCGTCGCCGCCATTTTTTAAAGGGTCTGCAACTTGCCTCTTGGGAGCTAGAGGGGAGTTCGGACCCTGGGTCTTCCACAGACCCCTCCGGTAGTCCTTTTCCCACCCACTGCCTCAGACTGCGCCACGGCTGCCACCACTGCCCCAGTCCCGGCAGCCGCCGCGTCGCCGCCATTTTTTAAAGGGTCTGCAACTTGCCTCTTGGGAGCTAGAGGGGAGTTCGGCCGCGCCAGTGCGCATGCGCGAGGCCCGAGCCTCGGCTTTGGTCTCAACCACGGTGGCAGTGATTGCCACAGTTACCCAGATGGGTCCCTGAGACTTGGTGAAGTAGGATCCCTGTGTGATAGGGCGTCAGAGATGGGGCTGAGAGCAGTCCTGGCCAGGGCGTTAACAGGATGGTCTCCGGAGGCCGGGATTCTCAGAAGGTCTGACCACCAGGAAGAAACCTCAGGCGGATGGACCGGGAGGTAGCACGGGATCCCACCCTCAGGCCAGGTTTCGCCGAGGGTCGACGAGGTCCCCCTCCCAATCTTCATTTCACCCGCTGCCGCCCCAGCCCCTCCACCGCCGCTTTTCCATCCTTTTTCTTTTTTTTTTTCTTTCTTTTTTTTTTTTTAATAGTCGTAGTCTCACTGTCACCCAGTCTGGAGTGCAGTGGCAGGATCTCAGCTCACTGCAAACTCTGCCACCCGGTTTCAAGTGATTCTCTTGCCTCCACCTCCAGAGTACCTGGGATTAGAGGGATTAGTCAGAGTCGGGGCTAAGACCACTCCTGGCCAGGGCATCAACAGGATGGTCTCTGAAGGCCGGGATTGGTGGAGGGTCGTCCAGGAGGAAGAAACTGCGGGCAGACGGCCGGGGAAGCAGCGAAGGATCCCAGCCACAGGCCTGTATGAATTGTGTGCCAGTGAGTCTCTTCAAAAAAGGAGAGGTTTGCGTGTGTGCCCGTGGGCTGCTCTCTCACCGGGGGTCGTAGTCGTGGAGAGCAGAACCCGGCAGCTTCAGGGGCTGCCTGGGGGTGGGTGTTACCGTGCCACTGCCCTCCCCTGTGTCTATGTCATAACCACTACGTCTTTGTCAATTGCAGTGTTAGCTTTGGTCTTGTCTTCCTTCCTTCTAAGACTGAGGAAAATGCGGGATGGTAGAATCCACCCAGCCTCTGACAGCATCCAATCTGGAGCAAAGGCTTCCTTCAAACTTCCCCCAAGCCCCCAGTACAAGCCCAAATTCTGGAACAAGTCTTTTCCAACACCTCCTTCAGAGATGCTTCCTGGCTCCAGGCAGTGCTTGCTCCTCTCACTGCAGCAGGAAGCCCAGCTTGTGAACTGCAGGTGTGCTCCAGGTGGTCGCTGGATGCAGGGCATTGACAGATGGAGCCCATTAACACCACCACCGCCTAACAATGTAAGCATATCAACCCCCACTTGCACATGATGAAACTGAGGTCCACAGGGTGGGGAAGGGGCAGACATAAATTGCCCTTCAAATGTGATACCAGTGAGATATGAGAGGCAGCACCACTCGGAACTCAGTGAGGCAGTGGGCACACCAGGACCCTCCCAGGCAGATCGGGTGTGTGGTCACCCCCATTGCACAACATGGGCAGGAGTAGGAGAGACCACACATGGGTCTCAGCACCTCTCCACTGGCCTGACCTCCCTGCAGACCCCCAGGACAGGATTGGCATCTCCTTGCTGGCAGGCCTGGCCACCAGAGGTCCTTGCTTATGTCTAAGGTGCCTGTAGTTGTGGTTCAGAGGACGGGGTTTGCTCCTGAGATTCAGCACCACACAGGCACTGCACAGCACTGTACCACGGTGGCAGGCACTCCCTTTCAGATAGGGCCCATGTTACCAGCAGGGCATGATGCATCATTTAGCCTACCCTTAGTGGGATAGGTGGTTTTATAGAAAAAAATTTGGGCTAGGCGCGGTGGCTTAGACCTGTAATCCCAGCACTTTGGAATGCCAAGGCGGGTGGATCACAAGGTCAGGAGTTTGAGACTGGCCTGGCTAATATGGTGAAACCTTCTCTCTACTAAAAATAAAAAAATTAGCCAGATGTGGTGGTGGGCACCTGTAGTCCCAGCTACTGGGGAGGCTGAGGCAGGAGAATCACTTGAACCCAGGAAGCAGAGGTTGCAGTGAGTCAAGATCATGCCACTGCACTCTAGCCTAGGTGACAGAGGGAGACTCCATCTCAAAAAAAGAAAAGAAATTAAACGGAAAAGTATTTGTAGATGAATGAAGGTGATCCCTTTGAATGTTGTAAACTATTTTATTTTAGCCATTGGTCTGGCTCTCATTCTGATGGGGTGACAGGCATCCCTGCCTTGGTCAGCAGAGCACAGGAGTGTGCTACTCCTCCCCTCATCTGAAGACTCAGGCCATGAGCAGGAAGGCCTGTCCTTGTGTCCACCAGCAGAGAGGATGTGTCTGGTTCCACCATGCACTGCAGAGGCAGCAATGACACAGAAGGAAGAGACAGTGTGCTCCTGGGATGTGTCCTTTTGACCCAGCAAGGGGGGCATCTCCTTTCCTGTCCACGACCCCCAGCCTGAACACAGAGGCAGAGAACATGTGAAGGGCTCCCATTCTCAGGTGGACCAGGGTGCCAGCTGTGAGCTTGTAGTCCTGGTCACTGCCCTTTTCTCCACAGCGTGGCTGCCACCATCCTGGACTGCTACACAGAGGGGCTTTGCAGAGATCAGCATAACAAAATCATCACTGAGATGCTGTAATAGGAAACCGTGATACCTTCATGGGCTGCCAAAGCAGCTATTTGTTGCTGCACTCAGTATCCCCAGACAGCTCTGTGGCTGTCACTGCCTCTGGTGTGTCCATTTTACTTCTCTTCTCCTGCCTGAGCTTCTGCTCTGAACTGTCTCTTACAAGAAATCAAGCTCACTAAATTCTGAGCTCTTTGTGGTCAAGGACTGAGTCAGTAGTTCATGTCTCTTTCTAGAGATAGTATCTGGTACTTAGCAGGTGCTCAGCCAATGCCAAATGATTTATTTGCCAGGAAGCTGAATTTCATCCATAATCCTAGTCAATGCAAATATATTCTGCCGGTGGGGTGTGTGTGTCCCCTGAAGGCATTTTCCCAGACTTCGTAAATACATACAGGCCATTTATAAATTTGAATGTCAAAAAGTAAAAGAGTTTAGAAAGTAAACATTGGAGAAGTGTGGGAGGATGGTATTATTTGCAAAACATTCTTGGGTCCTTATGAGTTCTGCATACCCTTGATGACCACCAATTCTGGGCCAGGCCAGAGACCCAGCTGGACCCAGGAGATACTGAGGTGAGTAAAGCCAAAGTGCCTCCCTTCAGCAGGAGGCGGGCAGCCACAGCAAAGTGATAAAGGCACAAAACCCAGAGGCAGCAGAGAAGCAAGGACTACCTTGTTCCAGGAGGCTGTGACCTCAGGAAGAGCTCTCAGAGGAGGACATCTGTGCAGGGCTTGGAAGGATGAACACAAATTTGCCCAGCAGACAAGGGAGCCAAGGACATCCTGATGGAGGAGAACAGCTTGGGTGAGAGTGTGAGCCACAGGATTGAGCGGCACAGGCATGGAATTGGAGGAGGAGAAAGAATGAGAGGGATAAAGTAGGGAGATCAGCAGAGGTCAGTCACAGAAGGTTTTGAATCCTGGTGAGGAAGCAGTGGGTGCTGAATAAGGGACATGGTCCTGGAGGAGATGCGGTTAGCTCTGAGTGAAGATGGAGCATGCCATCCACCAGGGGAACCACAAGATGCAATAGAAATAAGAACCCTGAGAAACCTGCACAAAGGATGAGGAGCCCATGGGTAGCAGCAAGAATGTCCTTGTCAGAAACCAGCTTTGAAGGGAGACAGAAAAGACTCTTGAGGGCCTCAGCTGCTGCAAACCTCCTCAACAAATCATATTTTACCTTCAGATATTTGCTAAAGAACACTACCTATTGGAAGAGCAATGGTCCATTGATGATAATTATCCCCTCACTGTACATTTCTTTACAATTCTCAAACTGCACTAGTGTCTCATTGGAACCCCCATATAATCCCATTTTGCAAATAGGGAACTGAGGTCCTGTGATGTCACACTGAGCTTTGCAGCAGTTCCAGGCTAGAAAATAGGGAGCACTTTCAGCTCAGCCCTGGGTATAAGGCCCAAAGTTCCTTTTCTGGGAGGGGGTCCTTGAGGCCATCCAGCAGCCCATAGTCCAAGTCTTCCTCTTCTTCCTTGGGCTTCTCCACACCTGTGTCCAAAGCCTCCTTCTCCTCCTTTGTTCTCAGGCACCACTACCAGTTGTTGGGCAGGGAGACCTCCTGCTGCTGCCCGTCCTAGGGTGCATCCTCCAAAATGGGTGCATTGTGGTTCAGCCAACACCTGCACCTACTGCAGCCCAGGGCTTCTCTGTTTAGGGAGGGCCTGAGGTACCTCCCTATCAAATGGAGATGCACTGGAGTTGCTGCCTTTGCTTGAACCCATGTCCAGGTCATCTTGGGGGTGGCCAAGGGTGCAGGGCCCTGGGGACAGGCCAGAGGGCTGCAGGTCGAAAACCAAGAGGATGAGGGGATCACTGAGTCAGACCGCCTGGATCCACATCCCAGAGACTGGCTGCAAGGCCTGGGAAAGCCTGGTTTACCTCTCTGGTCATCAGTTTTCTCCCCTGTAAAGTGGGAGGTATAACAGTTGTCTCTGAGCTTTACAGCAGGTAATGTGTGCAAAGTACTTCATACAATGCTTGGCATATGATAGGTGATAATAAACAGGGCTACTGTGATGTCATCATCTGAGCTAGGTCGATCGTGCACTTCTGCAATCCTTCAGGGTTCCCCTCTGTCCGTCACAGGATAGCAGCAAGTGAAAGGGATGCCCCCGGCCTTAAGGAGCTCACATCTTCTCATTTCCCAGGGGTGTTTGTCCAGTGCCCACACATGCCTGGCATGCAGTAGGCGCCTGGCATGCAGTAGGCGCCTCATCCACATCTGGTGAAAGAGTGGAAAGCAGGTCATTGTCATGTACTGTTTGGCACAGAATCTCCAGTAGGGAACAGAGAAGTGGGTGACTGTGGTTGTGCCCTCCAGTTCCTGTCCCTGAATTTTCAGGGATCAAGAGGCCTTAGCAAGTCTAGTAGCAGGGACTGGGCACTGTGTGGTGGACCAGGAGGCAGGTCCTGAGGAAGGCAGTGGGGTAAGGAGAGGAGCTCTGCCTTTGGGATCTGGGAGACCCTCCACTAGGACCTCACCAAGGGCCCCGGGTAGGTCATCCGTCCTCCCAGAATCTGTGCTCCTCTGTATAATGGGGCTAACCTGGAAGAGATATGAAATGTACACTTAAACATAGTTAGACAAATGTACTTAATGCCACTGAAATGTACACTTAAACATAGTTAGACAGTATATTTTATGTTATGTTTATTTTACCACAATTTTTTTAATGGGGTAGTTATGCCTGTCTCCTTGCATTGCTGTAAGGATTTCATGAGATAACATATAAGGAACAATGCAGCATGTTGCCTGGCACATAGTAACTGCTCAATAAATCACAACTGGATGCTACTGAAGGTAAAGTTACCTGACTTCTGTGAGACCTACTCTTCTCAGCTGAAAATTCTTCCAATAAATATTAGATGAGACCCTATTGTATTATACTGGGTTCATAAATAGCACTCCCCCTTTTCCCTTCCCACAGAATGCAGTAAAGAGAAGACTCTTCTCTGCACCCAAAAAGTTCCATGCTGATGGTGAGAAGGGAAAGCTGGACGGAGGGGTTCCTGGAACTACTGTGAGGGGTGAGCTTCCCCCAGATGTCTAGAAATGAGGTAGGGACCCGACATCTTCCACCCCCACTAAGGTTGCCTTGCACTTCCCAACTGGCTCTATACTTCCTAGAAACTGCCACTTTTCTGCCCCCATTACCTCATGGCCCAGTCAGCACCATTATCATCATCACCATGATCACCATCACCATCCTTACAATCACCACCACTATCATCAGCATCACCATTCTCACCCTCGCCATTCTCACCATCATCAACACCAGCATCTTCACCATAACCATCACCGTCATTATCACCACCTTCACCATCACCATCCTCACCACAATAATTATTGTCACCCTCCCCATCCTCATAATCATCATCATCATTACCATCACTATCATCATCACCATCACCATTCTTACCCTCACCATTCTCACCATCATCAACACCAGCATCTTCACCATAACTATCACTATCATTATCACCACCTTCACCATCACCATCCTCACCATAATTATTAGCCTCCCCATCCTCATAATCATCATCATTATCATTACCATCACTATCATCATCATCACCACCATTCTCACCATCATCATCTTCATCACCATCATCCTCACCATAACTATCACTATTATCACCACCACCTTCCCCATCACCATCCTTATCACCATCACAATCACCAACAGCACCATTCTCACCATCACCATGTTCACCTTTACCATTCTCACCATCATCACCATCATCATCCTCAACGTAACTGTCACTTCATTATCACCACCTCTACCTTCACCATCCCCATCCTCACCATCATCATCATCACCAATCACAGTGACCCTTGCTACATGGAACCATGCATTCTGGCTATGAGGGCTCTCGGGTCAGGGCACCTAACACATCTTGTAGGATAGAAACCCCGCACCTCAGGGTCTCACAGTTGGTGAAGTAACTGATTCTTGTGAGGTCATGTTCCTGTGGTGATGTGGGTTGTCATGAGATACCACAAGACCAATAAAAACAGGCTGAAGCCCATTGCATCACTTCTTTTTTTGTAAAATAAGCTCCATCATCGGTAGTCATTGTATGATAGCAGAGAATAAGAACTAAGCAAATATAAATAATTTGATGCTATGAGAAGCATGTGAAGGGGAGTCCATATTCCGATATGCATCTATTCCAGTGAGGGCAATTCTTTACCACTTCCATGAAGGAAGGGAAAGAATGTTATTACAATGTTACCAGACATCTCTCCGGTCTAGGCAAGGTAGTTCCTCTTTCCAGGGTCTCAGCATTGCTGACTGTCAGCAGTTAAGTCACCCATCTGGGCAGCAGGCAGAGCAGGCAGCACTGGTGCAGGGAAGTTCATGTTATTGGAAACAGGTAGCATCTTCTGCTACCATCGACACATTGTCCATGAACCCACTGGGCAAACGCTGAGGAAGCTGGGAAAAGCAGCTGATTGGTATCTACAGACCAGCCATCATATGGCCCTTTTATTGGTAGCCTCTCCTACTCAAGGATACTAACACGAGGTTCTCATAACCAGAATATAATCATCCATATCAGGATATCAGCATTCACGAAGCACTACTGTCCAATTGACAGATGCTGTAATGTCATCCAAATTTTCTCACTTGTGCCCTAAATACATTTTTTTTTGAAGTTTGTAATCCAGGATCCAATCCAGGATTTCCCATTGCATTAATTGTCATGTCTCTTAAGCTCCTTCATCTTCAAACACTTCCTCTGTTTTGTCCTATTTTTCACAACCTTAAGAGTTTTAAAGAGCAGAAGTGTTTCCTTCTGAAGGATGTGTTCACCTTTTTCCATCTGATGTTTTTCCACATCCAGACTTAGGTCATGCATCTTTCACAAGAAAACCACAGAAACAATGCTGTGATCTACCTAGGACATCACAGCAGGAGGCACACGATCAAATTTGTGCCAGTTTTCTCCACCACAAAGTCATCATTCTTCCAATTGTAATTGATAAGTATTTCATATGAAGATATTAATTATACATATACATGAATATATATATTTATATGTAAAATATATACTAAATATGATTTCAATGTCTAACCAATATAAAAGTTATTAACTAGATATGTTTAATTTTATTTCCTACTAAGTCTTCAAAATCTGGTGTGTGTTTTCTGCTGACAGCACATCTCAGTCCAGCCCAGCCACATTTCAAGTGCTGCATATTCACAAGGCTGTGGCTACCATATTTGTCAGGGCAGCACTAAAGCACTAAAGAACTTCTTCCTTGGAGAAGTTCTAAGCTTTCAAAGTGTTTGGAAAATACATTTTATAAAATTCTTCAGAATCCATAAACAGGCAACTACGCATTTAGTAAGCCATAGAATCAAACATGACATTAAAAAGTGAATCCCTTGACAAAGAATGTGGGCAAAATTTTCTTCAGACCAAATGGAGAAATCGATGATTACCTAACACGCCCATTATTATTTATTAACATCATTAATACCCCCATCAACAGGTAAATGAAGAAACACATTGAGGCCTATCTGAACAATGTCCAAATTTCTTACCATTCTTTCTTCTTTTGCAAGCAGAAAAGACTCAGTATTAGCAAAGACTATTCGGATAGTTTGTTCTTACGCCAGTAGTTGTAATTTCCTGGAGGTCTGTGTGATATCAATTATGTAATTCAGTACCTCTCACAATACTTTATCTGTTTGGCCATTTTCTGCAGGATATCCATGCTCCCATTTTCTGTATTCTTTTATTTCTATCCTAGACTTTTCTCTCATCCTGTAATTCTTTATCCTAAAAATATTAATTGAAGGATAACATCACAAAATAGTATATTTCTCTAGATGATACTCTAAATTGATACCTAATATACAGAAATGACTATCATGGACATAACCCACAACATGTGAAATGCATGGCTCATTCTACCGACATTAGAAAGGAAAGTTAATGACAACTGAATTTCTAGTCATTTTCCACCCAAACAGTTGCTTATGAAATGGCAGGGAATTGTAGGTATGTATGCAGTGGTCATTTTTTGGTGGGGTGTTCAGCAGGTCTCCTCTTGAGCCCCTCTTTTCTTTGAGGACTATTTCAGTGAGCACCAGCTGGGCCTGACCCAACCTACCAGCCCCAGCCCTAGAGGTGAGCATGATGCCCAGCTCTGGCCAGAGACTCTACCCTTGGACCATAGCAACTGATTCAGTGCTTTTCTTCTGGAATCATCAGGAAGGACTCTTGCTTTTTCTACCACTGTGGTGTGCAAGGACAAAGTAAAGTGGGTTATTTGTAGCACTGTGTCTTGCTGCAGAGAGAGAAGAAAGTCATCTTCAGAAGGAGAAAATGAAGCTAAAACACAAAGAAAACTGTCAAGAGAAAGAAGGAGAACATTTCTTGATGATTTTATATAAGCCCCTGGGTCCAGCTATGCATGACAGTGACTTGGGTTAAAGCCCTGTCACTTATAGGATCATTGACTTAAACACAAAATAAAGTATTAGAACCTATTAACTTTCAGATGAAAATACAAAAAAAATATTTGTAATATTCAATTAAAAATTTCTTAGATAAAGGCCCAAAAGCACAATGCACAAGAACAATTAATAAAATGGACCCCATCAAAATTAAGAGCATCTGCTATTTGAAAGACAGTGTTATGAGAACAAAACAGAAAACTCAGACAGGGAGAAAATACTTGCAAATCTCATATCTAATAAGGGATTTGAATCCAGAGTGTATTAAAAAACTATTAAAATTTAATAAAGAGAAAATAAGCCAAGAAAAGGAAGAAGAAAAAAAATGTGAACATACACTTTACCAAATATATACAGATGGCATGTAAGTTCATAAGGAGATACTAAATACTATTAGACATTATGGACCCATAATAAAATACTATTGTAAACATGAAAATATCTAAAATTTTAAAAGAAGGCCCATACAAAATGTTGGCAGGAGTGTGGAATTCTCATATACTTCTGATAAAAATATAAAATGGTACAACCATTTTGACAAATATTGTGACAGTCTCTTAAAATTAAACCTAAACCTATTAGCTATTACATTCCTAATATTTACTCAAAGTTATAAGAACTTATGTACGTGAATGTTCATTGCAAATGTATTTGTATAAGTCCAAAACTGGAAGCAATGCAAAAACCCATCAGCAGGCAAATGGATATATATGCTGTGACCTCTCTGCACTATAGAATACCACTCAGTAATAAAATTTATGACCTATTGATGCCTGTAATATAGCAGAATCTCAAAATAATTATGCTGTGTGAAAGATGCCAGACCCCTCCAAAAAAGGGTCCATGCTACACTTCATTTATGTAAATGTCTAGACAAGGCAAACTATTTTATAGTGACAGATTGGTGATTGCCAGAAAGAGTAGTAAAGTAGGAAGGTACAGAAAGTTTGGGATTATAAGAGGGCAAGGAGCAACTTTTATGGGTGCTAACCCGGGAGGCAGTGGTGAGGTCTAGGCTCACTGCAACCTCTGCCTTCCTGAGTAGCTGGAACTACAGGCATGCACCACCATGCCTGGCTAATTTTTGTATTTTTAGTAGAGACAGGGTTTTGCTATGTTGCCCAGGCTGTATATTTTTGAGGGAGACAAAGCAACATTTGCTAGAGACCTTAAGAACTACTAGCCTGAGGCAGTTCATAGTTTCAAAAGTAGTTAGTTAGAAGTACATTTCTTTACCTTTAAGGTGGGTGGTGTTAATTACCACGATAAAAGAAAGTACTGTGCTAAAGTCACTGTGGAATAGGAAATAAGGTTCAGTGGTTGAGATCCAGTCCAATTTTAAGATTTGAAAAGTTGTGCTGTGTGCCCAAAGGGCACACACATCCCATTAGTAAATAATTGTGGTTTTATAAGAATGAAACAAAAATACTGTGTGTGTGTTGTTTGTTTGTTTGTTTTGAGACCGAGTCTCGCTCTGTCACCCAGGCTGGAGTGCAGTGGCATAATCTCGGCTCACTGCAAGCTCTGTCTCCCAGGTTAATGCCATTCTCCTGCCTCAGCCTCCCGAGTAACTGGGACTACAGGTGCCTGCCACTGCGCCCGGCTAATTTTTTTTTTTTTTTTTTAGTAGAGATGGGGTTTCACCATGGTCTCGCTCTTCTGACCTCGTGATCCACCTGCCTCGGCCTCCCAAAGTGCTGGGATTCCAGGTGTGAGCCACCGCGCCCAGCTGTGTGTTATTTTTTATATGTACTTGCCAATCCATCACCAAAATAAAAATAATGAACATATCCAGCACCCATAAAACCTAAACCTATTAGCTATTACATTCCTAATATTTACTCAAAGTTGTAAGAACTTATGTACATTAGTATTTGTGTAAGTCCAAACACCCCCAGGGTTCAAATATGGTTAAATTCTTATTTCATCTTAAGAGTCCCATCCTTTCTTTGTACATTTTTTTTTTTTTTTTTTTACCACAGGCCTGAGCAAGAGCCTATCTACTGTCCATTACTCTTTTTTTAAAATTTTATTTATTTTTTTTATTATTATACTTTAAGTTCTAGGGTACATGTGCATAACGTGCAGGTTTGTTACATATGAACCTGCCTGTCTCTGTAGACTCCACCTCTGGGGACAGGGCACACCTAAACAACAACAAAAGCAGTCTCAGAAACCTCTGTAGATGCATACGACTCTGTCTGACAGCTTTGAAGAGAGCAGTGGATCTCCCAACACGGAGGTTGAGATCTGAGAAGGGACAGACTCCCTGCTCAAGTGGGTCCCTGACCCCTGAGTAGCCTAACTGGGAGACATCCCCCACTAGGGACAGACTGACACCCCACACCTCACACGGTGGAGTACACCCCTGAGAGGAAGCTTCCAAAGCAAGAATCAGACAGGTACACTCGCTGTTCAGCAATATTCTATCTTCTGCAGCCTCTGCTGCTGATACCCAGGCAAACAGGGTCTGGAGTGGACCTCAAGCAATCTCCAACAGACCTACAGCTGAGGGTCCTGACTGTTAGAAGGAAAACTATCAAACAGGAGGGACACCTACACCAAAACCCTATCAGTACATCACCATCATCAAAGACCAAAGGCAGATAAAACCCCAAAGATGGGGAAAAAGCAGGGCAGAAAAGCTGGAAATTCAAAAAATAAGAGCACATCTCCTCTGGCAAAGGAGCGCAGCTCTTTGTATATTTTACTGCAACAATCTAAATTTGCATAACAACTGAACCCAGCCCTCAGAACTTGAAGTTCATTCTAGCCAAAGGCAGATTAAACTGTCTAAGTAATAATGTCCTTCAAATTGTTGTCCCCTGCTCCAATAATGGAGTATAGCTCCAAGAAACTAACAGACTATTTGTCCTTCACAGTATACATTCTGTGTTACATCAAAATACGGTATAAAGCCTCAAAATAAGCAGCAGAAAGAAAATGAGATCAACAACCATCTAGTTGTGACCTCACTACTTAGTAATGATGCTTTTAGCTGACTCCTTTACTTGATTCCTAACTGCTTATTTCTGGCAGGGAAGCACTAACCGCTGACCAAGCTGACTGTTTAAGAAGTGAGCAGGACGAACAGGCTCCACCACCAGTGATCAGTTTAATAACCTGCAACTCTAGTCACTAGCTGCAACTCATATTATGGGTGTCAAGAGCTCAGAATTATTACTGAAATACTATTTCAATATTAGTTGAATATTGAAATACTATTTCAATGCTCAATATTAGTTGAATGTTTGAAATACTATTTCAATATTAGTTGAATATTGAAATACTATTTCAATATTAGTTGAATATTGAAATACTATTTCAACTCCGAAAGAAACCCAGAAATCTCTGGGAATCCAGCAAAGATAGAAAGGGTCCTCTCAGTAGTCACCTCTCACACTTTGCTTTGTTTTGGTAACTATTTTATTATATATGGACAATTTTATTACATATGGACAATACCAAAAAAGTAGGCCTTTTCCTCACTGTTAACACTAACTCTAAAATGGTAAGTCTCTTGCGTGTTGAAACCCCCAGGCTCTCACTGGCCCTTCAACAGAAGAGGGTGAAGTCACCTGCAAGAGTGATCACCCAAAAGCTTCCAGGCTGGACAAGTCGGGACTCAGTTCTTGCAGTTCCCAAATTCACAGTTCTCTTGGGACATGGTTATTTATGGAGCACCGAAAGATGAGAAATTCCACGCAGGAAATTCTGCTTATAAAAGATTATTCACATCTAATTATCTCAAGAGACATCAACAGCAATGTTGAAAATTTCCCATTAATCGTTAATCTATGGAGAAAAATCGGACAATTATTTTTAAAAATATGAAAAGCTTCATATAATAAAAATTATACTCCCACATGTGATTCAATTCCTATTCATTAATGCCAGAGAAGTTAATAATTACGAACTGCCAGTGGTAAAAAAAATAAATCATTCATCATTGGAGAAGTGCAGAATGTTTAAAAGAAAGAAAAATTTGTTATTGGCTTTAGGACGTTTTATGCTTTCCATACACTCGTGGCTTTCTCTCTCTCTCTCTCTCTTTCTGATTTCAGTTTCTTTTGATTTCTCCTGCTTAGAAATGGTGAGAGAACTTTGGATGTGGAACGTGGAGGAGGAGGAACACGAAGTGGGGGTCTGCACGTGGGATGGTCAGCACTACAGGTGCCCAGCAAAGGCACTGCCTGGTCCACATCCCGGAGGGGCCTCTGCGCCCCAGTCAGCATCGCAGCGGATGGTGAAATGTTTGGCGTGGCAGAAGAGTCTCCACAAACTTTGGAAGGTGTCCACTGTGTCCTCCATAGCCCTGTATCCCTGCTGAGGGCGATCTTCCGGGGGAGCGGAAAGTCCCGCTCTTGGGCCAGGGCTGGCTGGCTGGAGCCACTCGGCGCAGCGCAGCCTTGGTGGAGGTGAAGGCGGCGCGTGACACGGGGTTCGAGAAGCCCCACTTGCCTGGGTAAGAGCAGCAGCGCGCTCACTCACCAACAGCTGGGCCCTGGTGTCGCAAGCCGATGTGAGTGATGCCTCCTTTGGGCCGGAGGGGTCCCAGAAAGGCTGCAGACCATGGCTGACCAGAGGGCAGCGTGGTGGCCGCGATGGAAGGTGACGGGGTTCGCAGCGCCAGGCGGCCCAGCAGAGCCAGAGCCCTGGCATCCCACATCGCCAGCGGCACCGCGGGGAGGCCTGGCGCTGGTGACACGGTGGCCAGAGTCCAAGGCCCACGGCCCTGTCCCAGACGCCCGCCCATCGTCAGCTAACTTCAGGAACCCGGGGCCAGCTGAGGCCCAGGCCTCACGGGCAGGACAAAGGGCAGAGAATCCGCAGGCGGGGCCGACAGCTGGTAGCTCGGGCCAGGATCCACCGCCACGGAGCTCGCAGGGCGCAGCAGGCACCTGGCAGCGACCAGGGCTTCCAGAGGAGGCTGCACTGGCCCGCGAAGGCTCCTGCCCAGCGTCCAGCCTCTCCGCGGGAACTCCACGTGCTCCCCCTCCTCATTTTCCTTGTCTAGGGCCGCAGCAAGGTCCTTGCTCCCATGGCGCGACTCCTGGTGAGCAGGAGCCTGGGCTGAGCAGGTGGAGCAGAGCGGCCACCCCCAAGAACCCAGCGAGAGTGGTGGCACAGGGGACTGCAATTCACGTGTCAATTATCTCAAAGATTTTATCACATTTTATAATATCTATAATGTCTATTATATCTTGTGCTATAATTATTAACACCACTTCATTGTGATGATTATAATTATTTTTATACCAACACATCTTCAATTACTAGTATTCCCACTTGCTAGAGAAAAATGAGAACAACGAGTTTTGAAAGCCTTCTGCCAATGGAAGCACATTCCAGCATGTCGCCAAAGCAATCCACTTTCCACCACTTTCACCAAAAACATTGCTGCACAATTATTCTATCCTACCCTTATATATCTTGTGTGTGTGTACTTGTGTGTATATATGTTATATATATATATAGCGAGAGTATGCCAGAGATGAACAAGTATTAGAAAATTAAATGCACACAGTTTTACACGTCAGTACTATGTATAATGTGGTGTACTACATATAGATGTTCAACAGTGTGTGATCCAGGCCGGAACAAGATTCCTTGTCTTAAGCAATTCTTTCTAGGTTCGGTCTCTGGAAATAATGCTTTGGATCAAACATGCAAAAAAATTAATGGGTTTTAAATACTATTCTAAGTCAACTGTAACATTTCATTTGGGGATTTCTGTCCCTTATAATTATCTACCTCATTTTGGATGGATTCCTTGAGTCCTGGTTTACTTTTCTTTCCTCTCTCACCATGTCTTTTCCTCTTTCACCATTTTGCTCAGGCTGGTATCAAACTCCTGGGCTCATGCAATCCACCTGCCTCGGCCTCCCAAAGTGCTGGGATTACAGGCGTGAGTCATCGTGCCCGGCCTCCTTTTGAGTTCTGACTTAAACAGAACTCTTTGTAATTTTATACAAAGCCAAATTTAGCCAAAACACCAACACACAAGAAAACTCAAGATGCCCAAGTAAGTTTCAATGGTATATAAACAACAAATAATCGTTTTGTATAAGTATACCCCATGCAATATTTTAGACATATTGAAACTATAAAATTTTCACTATCAGAAAATTAAAATTTAACTGCATGCCCTATAATTTTCCTAGAAATTCTATGTTTGCAATTATAAATAAACTAAATATTATTTATAGGTTTTCTAATGTGTTTGATCCCTATTATTTTAGAATGTAATGATGTCATGTATAAACTTAAAGAATATTCCACTGATTCTTTTGTCTAAGTTTCTGGTTTTCTTTTAGTCATGATCATCCATGGGAATAAACCATGACTTACACCTGCAGTGTACAGTGCATTATTTCAACATAAATGTGTTCATTGAAAGGTCTTGTCTTCTTTCACCTCTACAACATGGTATCTAGTATACTATAGGAGCTTAATAAATGTTGATAGAAGAATAAATACCTGGAGATTCAAATACCTAAGAGAAGGCATATTAGGGTTCTCTCAAGAAAGTGAACCAACAGGAGATAGATGATATAGATATAGATATAAATAACAAGATTTATTATAGGAATTCACTTATGTGATTATTGAGGCTGAGAAGTCCCATGTTCCATTATCTGCAACCTGGAGCCCCTGGAAAGCCAGGGAGTAGTTCCAGTCCAAGTCTAAAGGCATGAGAATTATTAGTGCCAAGGAGGTAAGTCCCAGCCTGAAACCAGAAGACCAGTGTTCCAGTTCACGGATCAGGCAGAGAGAGGGTGAATTCTTTCATTCTCCACATTTTGGTTCTATTCAGGCCTTCACTGGATTGGATGATGCCCATCCATACTAGTGAGGGCCATCTGCTTGACTCAGTCCACCAATTTAAATTCTAATCTCACTGGAAATGTCCGCACAGACACACCCAGAAATGACATTTAACCGAACATCTAGGTACCTTGCGAACCAGGCAAGTTGAAATAAAAAGTTTATAATAACACAAGATTGGTAAGTGCACAAGGTTGGCTTATCTGACACACTTCCCCCCACTTACTGAGTACTTTGATTGCCAGTGGGCATTATTGCTCTTTCTCAGGAGCCCTCTCACTCTTCCCCTCAACACTGCACTCCACACAGACACTACCAACCATTTTGAGTTGACAAAAACTCAGATTTTTTCTATCCCAGACATGCTACAGAAGTTCAGAGAGAAAAGATAGGGATGACTGCAGGCAGTGGAGTCACAGAGAATTCCTGTAAAGGCAGGGGTTAAATGTGGCTCAGGATTGAGGTAACCTTGTGAGGATGGGTGAGGTGCAAAGTCTTCTATGCTTTGAGAAAAGGATGGAAGATTAGAATGAATCTGATGTCTCAAGTGAATCACAGAAGCACCCATTTGTTCTTGATTAGCACATTCATTTGGGAGAGCATAGAATTGTAGATTTCAAGACATTTACAATGCTCTAATAAGAAGAACTTTAAAGACTGGGTGTTAGAAGTTATGACAAAATTTCCTAGTCAGCAGAATATTTTAAAATATTTTTTGGTGTGTGTTTGTAGCAAGCAGTACTTCAGTAAAAATAATCTGGCTTTATAATTTATCTTAAGAGGAGATATTGCAAGGAGAGCTCTAAACAAGAAGGTTATGGTAACGGTCCATACCTGAAACAAAGATGGTTGGACTTTAGACAAGAAATGTCCAAACTAACTTTGCACAGTAATGGAAACATCCTACCCTCTCCTAGTCACTCATGGCTATGAAGCCTCAAATGCAGCTAGCTACTGTGACTGAGAAACTGTATTTGCAATTTTATTTGACTTTAATTAATGTAAATATCAATGGCCACGTGGTTAGTGGCTACTGTGTTGGACAGTACAGGTTTAACTCATTTAAGACCAAGATGTGCTTGTTTTCTTCCTAAACCTGTTCCAGGAGAGACTCCACATCTTGCCAGTTTTTACAGTCTCACTTATCGAAAGGGCTTTTCTGTTTCCATCTAAAACTTTCTCTTATTTTAGTAATATTGTTTTTAAAATCATAGGATTTTATTCTCTCTAATAATCTGTTGTTCAATACAGTAGCCACTCTCTATAAGTGGCTATTTAAACTAAATTAATTATAACTAAGTAAAATAAAATTAGAGTTATTGATTTCCTAGCTTCATTTCAAGTGACCAATAGTCAATGTGGTTAGTGTCCACCATACTAAATAAGGTAGTTCTAGGTACAAGTAAAAGAAGTAGAAATAAAAATCTGAATGCTGAAGATCTTAATGCAAGATATTGAAAAAAGAATCACTAGCCAGAGCTAAAAATATATGGAGGAGTAGAGATAACCAAACATCTGGGTACCCTGTGACTTAGGCAAGTTGGATCAAGAAAAATGACAAGAAGTTGAACCTTGGCTACCAGAGAAATGATGCTACCACTGACCAAGATTTAAAGGTAGCAGAGTTCTCTCGGTAAACAAAAAACAAAATAAAATAAATGTTCAATTTTAGACCTATTACAATTTCAGTCTCTTTTCTTCAGAATTGTCATGTATCCTGCTCAATGTAGTGAATGAAAAATGAAAGGGTGGGTGATTTGCTGTAGCAATATTAAAGCCATTTGCTAATGTGGAAAAAGCGAGGGGCAATTGGGGATGCAAATTAAGCAAATCTTTGTTTTCCTGTGCAAGGATGGGAAGTCATCATAGTGATTGATGTTGAAGCAACAGTCATTGAGAACTCAGAAGCAAGAGAACAGTAACAGTAAATTCTAGGGGAAAAGGAAAAGATAAGGGTGGTGGGCTATGGAAGGACAATTTAATCTAGCAACTAGAGCAGTGATTTGCATACAGTGGATATTCAGGAACAGGACATACAGGAGGAAGGAAGGAAGGGAGGAAGGAAGGAAGGGAGGAAGGAAGGAAGGGAGGAAGGAAAGAAGGATAGATGGAAGGATAGATAGAAGAGAGGAGGGAAGAGAAAGGAAGGTTATAGCAAAAATTAATAGTATTTTATTACATTCATTCAGGAAAAATAAAAAATTTCCTCCAACATCTGTACTATTAGTGATATAAACATAAAAGTATGAGTACTATATTTTTATGCACTTTTTATTTGTTCCCTATAAAACTTGAATTAAAGAACTATATTTCATAAAAAGTAAAACATACACGTTTTCCTCATCAGAAACTATTTTACCTGTTATTTGGGAACATGTGGGTCTATATACACTTGCTTATGCCCCACACATTAAAGCATAATGTGCAGAATTTATCATATTTTAGGTACTAGAGAAAATTATCAAAGGGGCCTTCAAAGGCTGATCCATGGAGTCACAGGGC